AAGGGATGGAAGATGACTGTAAAGATGAAAATTATAAAAGATTTTATAAAAGGAATTGATAAGGTAAGAAGTTGTTTGAAAAAAAGAAAGAAGAAGATTAAAAAACAAAGAAGAAAAAGAAAAAAGGGAGAGAATGTGATCAGTCAGGAGACTAGAACAAAGCCATACACTAGTGATTTAGGGTATATTTTGATCTGTTAGAAGAAACTGTATCTCAAAATTTTAAAGAGAGAACAACTTATATATATATGCCAAAAATAAGGGTAACTACTATGAAGGGATAAAATATGACTCTAAAAAATGAAAAATAAAAAAAATTTTTCTTAAAAAAAGGGATTGATAAGATGTTGGTTGAAAAAGGGAAAAAGAAAAATTCAAAAAACGAAAAAAAACAGTTAAAAAAATCAACTTTGAAAAACTAATGAATCATGGTAAAACAGCCATGAATTCTAGGGGCAGTATTCCCCTAGCACTGGAGTTCTCCCGTTCTCCTTGATCGGTAAACTTGGTCTTGGCTTGCTGGCTTTTCCTGCTGATCTTCTGGGGGAGGGGCCTGTTGCCGTGGTTCCCAAATGTCTTTGCCAGAAGCGGAATTGCCCCGCCCTTGTCGGTCTGGGCTAAGCAATCTGCTCAGGTTTGCTCTCCGGTGCTCTTGTTCCCTCCAAGCTCTGGTACAGCTTTGGAGGACCAGAGTGAAAATGGTGGCCTCCCAATCTCCACCCGGAGGAGCTGAGAACTCGGGGCCCCGCTCCTCAGTGCGCCCCCAGAGAAAAGCAGTCACTCCCGTGTCCCCGGTCTCCGGCCGCACTCCGTGCTCACCGGGCCTGTGACCGAGCGTTGCTATCTCTGGCACCCGACCCCGTGCGGAGTCTCCAAACCAGCAGATCCCTGCGGTGCGTTCCCGCGCCGCTGCTCCCGGGGGAGGAAGGGGAGTCTCCCCGGATCTGCCGCTTGTTGGGTCCCTGCTGGAGGAGCAGTGGCCCGACTGTCACCGATCACAGTTTATGGCAACCCCGAGCTGAGAGCGCGCGCCTCGGCTCCATCTCTGCAGCCGGCTTCCCCTCTCTGATCCCTGGGAGCTCTGCCGCACTCAGGCACCCCCGGTCTTTCTGTGACCCCGAGGGTCCTACCCCCCACTTAGCCACTGGAGTGAGGTCCCTCAGCGGAGCCGACTTCTAAAAGTTCCGATTTTGTGCTCCGCGGCTCTATCACTTGCCAGAAGCGGCGGACGGAGGCCCCCTCCCCCGCTGTCTCCTCCTGAATACCGCCTCGGATTCACTTCTCCGCACGTCATACCTTCCAGAAAGTGGTCGCTTTTCTGTTCAGAGAGTTGTTGCTATTCTTCTCTTCGATCTCCTGTTGAGTTTGTAGGTGTCAGAATGGTTTGATCCCTATGCAGCTGAATTTCTGAGACCAGACGACACCCAGGTCTCCTGCTCCTCCGCCACCTTGCTCCGCCACACAGCGAGAGAGGGAACACAAGCAGGGGGAGTGAGAGAGGGAAAGCAGGCTTCCCACGGAGCAGGGAGCCTGATGCGGGGCTCGATCCCAGAACCCTGGATTCAAAACCTGAGCCGAAGGCAGACGCTTAACGACTGAGCCACCAAGGCGCCCCTACATTCTTCTTTTTTTAAGATTTGTTTATTTACTTATTTAGAGAGAGAGTGTGCACACAAGTTGGTGGGGGGCGGGGGGCGGAGAGAGAGGAAGAGAAAATCCTCAAGCAGACTCCCTGCTGAATGTAGAGCTCCATGCAGGGTTCGATCCTATGACCCATGAGATCACGACCTGAGCCAAAATCAAGAGTTGGCTGCTCAGCCGACAGACCCACGCAGGTGCCCCGTCTGTAATTACATTCTTCTTCTTTTTTTTCAATTTGAGAAAGAGAGGGTCACCTGGGTGGCTCAGTCATTAAGCGTCTGCCTTCAGCTCAGGTCATGACCCCAGGGTCCTGGGATCGAGCCCCACATCGGGCTCCCTGCTCGGCGGGGAGTCTGCTTCTTCCTCTCCTACCCCACCTGCTTGTGTTCCCTCTCTAGCTCTCTCTTCTGTCAAATAAATAAATAAAATCTTAAAAAAAAATAATTTGAGAAAGAGAGAGGAGGGGCGAAGGGCAGAGGGAGAGGGAGAAGCAGGTTTCCTGCTGAGCAGGGAGCCCAACATGGGGCTCGAACCCAGGACCCTGGAATCATGACCTTAGCTGAAGGCAGATGTTTAACAGACTGAGCCACCCAGTCACCCCTAAACACTTCAGATTATAATCACAAATGCAATAGGTTTGATTCACTGGAAGTCTCTAATAGATGCATTCTGTTAAGCGTGTCCCACAGAGTGGTCTGTGCCCAGTGTGGTGCATGGACACACAGGGAGCCTGCTTTGTTCTGGTCATTAGACACTTGCAGGAGTCCCACATCAGGCCTTCTGAGCAGTTGGTTGTTTGAAGCATTAGGAGATGGGAAGTTTCCGCCTGCCCCTCTGCAGGAGAGGGAGCGGAGACCCACAGCACATAGCATGGCACATCTCTCTCCTAAGAAAACTTTCCTTCTCTTGTCCCCTCACCCCAAGGATGGGGGGGTGGAGCAGTAGATGTGGTCAGTGATAGCAAAACTGGTTTTGCAGCCACTTTGCCTGTCCTGCAAAGGCAGCATGGTCCCTGGTTTTGGCATGAGAGAAACTGGGTGTCTACCATCATTTTTGTTTCTCTTGGCCTTGAGCAGTCCAGCCGATATGCAGACAGCCCATTTTAACAGTTTATGCACACCTGCCTAAACACACTTTATACAGGCTATCTCTGCATACTGAGTTTGCCCCTTCTGGAGTTGCAAGATCATCCAGCCCAGAGGAGCACTGTTTTCCTTTTGAGTCCACCACCACAGCCACCAAGGTTGGGGACCTGGGCACCTCTAGGGACATGGATTCCAAATTCATGTCTCTCCCTACCAACTTCAGTATCAGAAAGACCACACTGATCATGCCAAATGCTATTTACGCAAACTGTTTTGCTCTTTACATCATGAAATACTCATCCATTTCCTTTTCAATTAATGTGTTTGGGGTCCTATTTATGCAATTTTTGTCTATCCCAAGATCATGAAGATCTCCTAGCCTCTTTTCCAAGCGTTCTATTTTCCTCTCCTTCATGTTTAGATAGTCCATCGGGAACTGATCTGGTGTGGTGTGAGGTAGGGATCAAGAAACTTTTCTTTCGTTTGGATATTCAGTTGACCCAGCACTGCTTATTTATCACACAATCTTCTCTCTTTTTTTTAGATTTATTTATTATTTATTTATTTATTTATTTATTTATTTATTTATTTATTTAACAGAGAGAGAGACAGCGAGAGAGGGAACACAAGCAGGTAGTGTGGGAGAGGGAGAAGCAGGCTCCCTGCTGAGCAGGGAGCCCGATGTGGGACTCGATCCCAGGACCCTGGGATCATGACCTGAGCTGAAGGCAGACGCTTAACCACTGAGCCACCCAGGCGCCCTTTTTTAGATTTTTTAAAAAATTTATTCATTTGAGACAGAGGGAGACAGAGAGAGCATGAGCAAGGGAAAAGCAGGCAGAGGGAGAGGGAGAAGCAGGCTCCCCATTGAGCCAGGAGCCCAATTCGGGGGCTCAATCCCAGGACCCTGGGATCATGACCTGAGCTGAAGGCAGATGCTTAACCATCTGAGCCCCCAGGCGCCCCATCACACAAGTTTACTACCTATCAAGTCCTGGGTGTACAGAGGTGGGTAAAGCAAAGCCCTTGTCTTCATGGTGAAGGCAACAGACAGGAAACAAGGGGAAAAATAATATCAAGGGTGGAGGATGCCAGGCTACATGATAAAGCAGAGTAGGAGGACAGGCCAGAATGTATTTGAGCAGGTCACTCAGGCTGTGTCCGGTGTTTTGCTATTATAAATAGCATTACTGTGGGCATCTTTAAAACAAGTCTTTGGGGATATTTCTGATTATTTCCTTATAAAAACTATGTGGATAAGGACTTAGGCATCAAGGAGTATGAGCTTCTTGGGCTTTGATACATATTTCCAAGCTGCCCTCCAGAAGAGCTTACCAATTTACACTCTGCAGAGCCCAGTGTTGGAGGGAGCTAAGCTGCCTGTGTTTCACTGATTTTGGGGTGAGCCCTCGGGGGACAGTGTGAACATGCAGACTCCCCTCCCACCACCCCCCTTCGCCTGTGGTATTTAATTTCCCTAGCAGTGCCCTTCCTCCTTTCTTCCCACCCAAGTCCTAGCCAATTTTTACATCATTCTGACCTCTCCCCTCCTGGCACTCAATTATATATTCATATTGTTTCATTATCTATGTGAAGTGAGTTGAAATATTTTATTTATTTCTTAGAGAGGGAGAGAGAGAGAGAGTGCACTTGAACAGGGAGGGGCAGAGGGAGAGGTAGAGGGAGAAAGACTCTGAACCAGACTCCGCACTGAGTGCAGAGCCCCACATGGGGCTCGATCCCGCCACCGTGAGATCACGACCTGAGCCGAAACCAAGAGTTGGACGTTTAACCAACTGAGGCACCTGCTCACCCCTATTTGAAGTGAGTTTAAACTGATCAGAACAGATACTACACATGATCTTAGCCTTATGTGTTGCTTCCCTAGAAGATTGTTTTTCCAAAGACTTGGACAAGTTTATACTTCCTGGGGCATGAAGCCAAGTGTAACGCACACAAGAAGCATGTACTAAAGCAGTGGCCAGAGTGGTGCCCTTCAGAACCATAGCACACTCACTTCCGGACAGACTTGGGCAGATAGTATTGGTCCCACTTGGATGGGCCAGTCTGCTGTTGTAACTGCACACCAGTGCGATGCTTCAGAACCCAGCACAGATGATCACAAGGACTTGGGGGAGCATCGTTCATGCACACACTGCAGCCGGAGCTGACCGGTCCACCCGAAGGGGCTTTCTGCAGAAAGGTTTCTGCCTTAAATGAGATAGAAATCACTGCAGGTTGTGTTGATGGTGACTTGTCCGTTTCTTGAGACAGCCACCAAGAAGGCCCGGGCCACCAGGAGGAGCCTGCTGCACGTCCCCTACGGGGACGGTGAAGGGGAGAAACTGGACATCTACTTTCCTGGGGAAGTGTCTGCAGGTAGGTGGCCAGCAGGCGGTCCCGCAGCAGAGCTCAGCTGGCCAGGCCGCCTGGATTCATCCCCCACACCTTTGTCTTTACAGCCTCGCCTTTCTGTCTGTTCTTTCATGGAGGGTACTGGCAGAGTGGAAGGTGAGTCTGGAGTCTGGATGAGCAGGGAGAAAGGGAGATTTGTACGAGTCCCCCGGGGTTGCTGCAACAGATGACTGCAAACTTGGTGGATTATCACAGAAGCGTGTTCTCTCCCAGTTCTGGAGGCCAGAAGGCTGAGATCAGGGTGTGCTCAGGGCCACACTCTGTCCCAAGGCTCTAAGGGAGAACCCGCTCCTGCCTCATCCAGCTTCTGGGGGCTCTAGGTTTTCGTTGGCTGCGGTTGCATCATTTCCATCTCTGCCTCCATCCTCGCAGGGCCCCCTTGGTGTCTGTGTGTCTGGGTCACAGATCTCCCCCCCTTCTCTCTTGGATGACCTCACCTCGGGATCCCTAATGACAGCTGCGTAGACTCTATGGCCACATTCCCAGGTCCTGAGGTTAGGATTTGGACCTATCTTTTGGGGGGACACTATTCGACCCACTATACCCGGTGAGAAGCATGTTCAAGCTACTCTCAGTCAGAAGGAAACCACAGTCACTAACCTTCCCAGCCTGCTCGGGACTGAGGTGTTTCCCAGGACCTGAGGCTTTCAGTGGGAGAGTCCCCGGGCAAACCAGGTCAGCTTGTCACCTTAAGATAAGCAGAGAGGTATTTGAGAGCTTCAAGGACACTGTTGTTCCCTAGGTTCTTACTAAGGAGCCTGCTATAGGATCTACCACCCCTCAAGCATAGTGATCTTCATAGCTAGATTTATAGCACTTTCACCCTTTGTCATACAAAGCTCTCTACCCATCTGATCTTCATTTCTCAAAGACAGTGCCTAAGAGAATGTAGATGTCCCCATTTTACAGATGAGGAAAGCGGACTTAGAGGTTAAGTAAAGCCCCGGGGTTTAATAGCTAGCATGTGATAAGGTAAGGACAGCGCCTACCTTCTTCCTCGTGCTACACGGAAGCAGAGAGGGGTGGAGCCCTGGGCGGAAAGGACGTGGAAGCTTCCTGGTGGCCCAGGTGCCTCCAGTTGTCACATCTTCGTCTCTTTCCACAGTAAAGACACATCAGCCTTCATGGTCAACCCACTGACAGCACAGGGAGTGGCCGTGGTGGTCATGGCTTATGACCTTGCCCCCAAAGGTAATGAGGATGGTCCTGCAGGTTTGAAGGCTGCTGGGCTTTGGAGGGGAGAGAGCCCCCCCACGGATCCTGACACAGCTCCTGCTCTCCGTGCAGGTACCCTGGACCAGATGGTAGACCAGGTGACTCGGAGCATCGCATTTGTCCAGAAGCAGTATCCGTACAATGAGTGGGTATCACTGCAAATTTTCCTTTTTATCAGACAATGAGGGAGGATGGTGATTCAGCCCCTTGGATGCAGCCCAGCTGTCCCCTCCGGCCTGTGGAGCAGAAGGCAAATTGGGAGTCTTTGGTACTGGCCCAATGCATTCGGGAAACTGAAGGTGAATTGGGCTCTCTGCTCTGACTCAACCCAGGGGAATTTACCTGTGTGGACACTCAGCAGGGGCCCACCTGGCTTCCATGATGTTCCTGACCAACTGGACCAAGCATGGAGTCACACCCAACCTCAAAGGTTTTCATGGGACTGCAGGTTTGGTTGGACAGCCATCACCCTCCGCCGATGGTCTGCACCAGGGTCACAAAATCCCAACAGCCACAGAGGGCTTGACCTGGGGCTTTGAGCCCTGTGAAACAGGCCTGCTTTGTGTCTCTACCCCTACCCCGGTCTTGCCCCTTTGGCCCTGGAGGCTGGGCTGGCCCCATATTCCCATATTGCCCCCCCCCCCCCCCCCCCTCAGAGCCAGCTTGAGGCCCAATGTGGGTGGAGTCTTGGCCCCACCTGCAGCCTCGCCCTCTGACTATTCTTAACCTTCACAGGCTTTTTCCTGGTAAGTGGGATCTATGACCTGGAGCCCATTGTCTACACCACTCACAACGCCCCTCTCCGCATGACCCTGTGAGTCATTTGTCCTCCCGGAGCTGAGCGTGAGCCTATCAGGGGGGCCAGGGGTGAAGTGCAGGCTTCTCTCTGTCCTGACCCATGCCTACCCCCTGCGCCAGGGAGGATGCTCAGAGGAACAGTCCCCAGCTGCTCCTGGAGGCAGCCTTGACGCAGCCCTCGGATCCAGCCTGCCACGTGCTGGTGACTGTGGGCCAACACGACTCCCCTGAATTCCACCGACAGTCCAGGGAATTTTATCAGGTACTCCCAACACCCCGCCTCTGGCCAGAGGTTGAGGCTCCTGTGTTCTCATTACCTTCTTCTTTATTTCACCCAAAGGGACCCCAAGACCACGAGCCATTTATTCAACAAATACTTAGCGAGGGCCTGGTACATGCCCGGCGTGGTGTGGACCTCCCCCACCCTCCCCCACCCTCCCCACCCTGCTGCCTCCTGCTTTGCTCCTTTCTCCACCCAGACACTAAGCCGAAGAGGGTGGAATGCCTCGTTTGAAGAAATCCATGATGTGGATCACTTTGAAATCATTTGGAACCTAACCCAGAAGGATTTCGTGCTCACCCAGGTGGGACACATCCTTTTACTGTGGAGAGCAAGGGTTCCCCCCTGCCCCAGCCCTTGCACAGGAGAGGTGGGGGGGTAGGGAGCACGGAGGAGCCACTTTACTGGATCTTTGGCCTCCAGGAGGCTGGGATCCTGATGGTAAGAATTGAGTACCCCACTAGCTTCCTCTACTTCACCTCCTTCTGAAATGAGGTGAGCTGCAGAGTCTGCTCCTGGACACACAGGTGGGAGATGCATGGGGCTTGGTACGAATGGGGACAGGCATTGATCTGGTGCAAGGAAAGTATCAGCCTATGTGTAACCATAAAGCAAAGCCAACTCTGGATAGGAGAGGATGGATGGATTTGGTTCATTACAATTTTTACATGGAGAATCCTTTTAAAAATCAAACATTACAGGGGCGCCTGCCTGGCTCAGTTGGTGGAGTGCATGACTCTTGATCTCAGGGTCGTTGAGTTGAAGCCCCATGTTGGGTGCAGAGCTGACTTAAAAATAAAATCTTTTAAAAAATCAAATATTACAATTTTAATGCGGAGAATTCTTTTAAAAGCCAAAGAATAAATTGGGGGAGGGCGCCTGGGTGGCTCAGTTGGTTAGGCGACTGCCTTCGGCTCAGGTCATGATCCTGGAGTCCCGGGATCGAGTCCCGCATCAGGCTCCCTGCTCAGCGGGGAGTCTGCTTCTCCCTCTGACCCTCCTGGATCTCGTGCTCTCTCTCTCTCTATCTCATTCTTTCTCTCAAATAAATAAATAAAATCTTTAAAAAAAAACCAAGGAATAAATTGGGGGAAATATTTGCTACAGATTTGGCAGATAAAGAATTACCACTTCTGTTGTTGTTGTTGTTGTTGTTGTTTTTCTGGGAAAGTGGGTACGTCATTAGCTTCACTTTTTAATCAGCTGCCACTTCTGAGGCTTTTAGAACATTCAGTTTTAACTCACATAGTTAATATTCTTACTATATAAAGAGCACTTACAAATCAATAAGAACCATTTTTATTTCTATTTAGGAATAGATTATAAATAGAAAAAAATGGACAAGGAATAAGGGCTAATTTAAGAAAAAATATGCATGGCCAGTAAACACGGGGGAAGATTAAATTATACTAGTGATCATAGAAATGTCACTTAAAAGGCCAGTCCTTTCCCACCTGTCATGGAAAATGTTCTAATGATAATTACGCCCAGCCCTGCTGGAGAGGTTGGGAAGGGCTCCTTCTCTAGTTCTGCCGGTGGGACCTCCGTCTGGTGATAGGGATCCAAACCCACTGGCCCAGTAACTGTGCTGCTTGGAATTTCTCTTCAGGATAATCAAGAAATACACAAAGGTAGTCTTTGAAGCTTTATTAACACTCAAAACTTAGACACAGCTGACATGTCCCAGTGAGGTTAAATGATGACATAATTTGGTAACAGAATGAAGTTTGTAAAAATGAGTTAGGCTACATCAAATTGTTTCAGATGTGAGAGCAAAAGCACAAGAAAGAAGTGATCCAGCATATTCCCAGTTTTTTTTTTTTTTAAGATTTTTTATTTATTTATTTGACAGAGACAGACACAGCGAGAGAGGGAACACAAGCAGAGGGAGTGGGAGAGGGAGAAGCAGGCTTCCCGCCGAAAAGGGAGCCCGATGCGGGGCTCGATCCCAGGACTCTGGGACCGTGACCTGAGCCAAAGGCAGACGCTTAATGACTGAGCCACCCAGGCGCCCCAGCGTAGTCCCAGTTTAATAATACAACGACAGCTAGACCCTTGGAGGCATATGCATGTGTGTGAAAGAAACAATTACCAGTGGTGACACAGGTGCATTTTAAAACACGAACACGTATTACTCTTCTTTTTTTAACTGGGGGAAAAGCAAACACCCATAAGTGGCATCTCTCGAAAAACCTAAGAATCGGGGTCGTGAGTTCAAGCCCCATGTTGGGTGTACCGATTACTTAGAATTTGGCCCTGGAGGCCTTTAATTAGTAAATTTTTAATTAATTAATTAGAAAACCTAATTTAATCAGGTTTAATTTAATTACATAAAAACGTAAACCCACTTAGCTTGTGGGTGAACAAAAGCGCATGTCGAGCCCGAGGTAAGTCTACATATGGCTGGGGGCTTATTTAGGACACTTCAAAGGACAGATGGGACTGGGCTGTCATTTTAAGTGACCCTTCGATGCGCAGGAATGCAGCCTGTTTCTTTCATCAGTTTCCTCTTGAGAGAGGCTCACAAGGGCCTCTCCAAATCTGGGGCTCTTGTGTCTTTCCTTCCTGCTGCAGATGATTTTGAAAACAATCCTCCAGGAGCACTGACAGCGCTGGAGTGTGCCTCCCCAGCCCCCCGATGGTGAAGCGCTGACCCCACACGCTTCCCGGTCCTGCCAGCCTCCAGCTCTCCCCGTGCCCAGGAGCGCCTCTGTTTGCTCCGAACACCACTAAAAATCTCTCTTTCGCTGGCTTCGAGGGAGGGGTTCCAGGGGAGGTCCAGCCCCAGTGAACGCTGTGTGATGCCCAAACCGCCTGGCCCCCTGCCTGCCTAGAGGGCATGACAAAAATGACAGCTCCTGGCAATAAGTAGACTTAGCTCCAGCTCAAAGTTTGCTGACCTTTTCGAAAGATTTTCTCAAACCAGCCTGTTCTGTCTTTTATGGCATTCTTTTGACCACTCTGTCCTGAGGCTTTCCCAGAGTCTCCTGGGACATAGCCTCGGGGCTGGCCCCTTCTGTGATGGGACAATGACATCCAGAGCCAGAAGATTCCTCTCCCCCCCCCCCCAGGGGTGTGTGCATTTCCCAAGCAGCCAGCCCTGTGCATCTACCACCCTCCCTACCCAGCACCCCTCCCCCACTCTGAATAACTAGCACTCCAAGTGTCATGGAGTATCCCAAAAAGGAAGAATAGCCTAGACAGTCATCAGTCGGGGATGAGTTCGTCCAAGCAGCCAGCAGCCGACCACTATGTAGCCGTTAGAAAGAGATCTGTTTACCGAGTGGGAAATCCCGCAAACATATTGTTACATGGCAAAAGCAAGATGCTTAGTGATACAGCTTAGTACCATCTCAATAACTTTACACAATACACACACGCAAAAACATGTTTTTCTCTGTGTGCCCACGTTTGTGCACGCAGGGGAAAGGCCCCGGGAGGATCCACACCTAAGGCCTCTGCTCAGTGTCTGGGGAGTTTGCTTTATATGTGTTCTTCGACTCTCAGGCTAAGAAGATAATGAATATTTAAATATAGTATGTGATCTGAGGTGCTAAAATATTCAAAAAGCTTTCAGGATGCAGGCAAATGAGAGTGATATTATAGTCATAACTTGAATTTATTACAGGTCCTCAAAGGAAATGACTCACAGACCGTAGGACGTGATTTAACATTGGCAACAAATTCCGAGTGAGACACCTCGCAGCTGCTGCTGGGGGAAACCCAAGCTTTCACCACACCTAGGTGGAGAATTGCCCCCTTAGGTTATGCCCTTTTGAGGCCAAATGCCTTAAAGTAAGCAAAAGGCAGAACAAAAATGTGTTCGCCCCCTTGTGATCCTATTTTCATTAAAAAAAAAAAATACATAAACGGGGCACTTGGGTGGCTCAGTAGCTTAAGCATCTGACTCTCAGTTTTGGCTCAGGTCATGATTTCAGGGTCGTGAAATCCAGCCCTGAGTGCGGTTCTGCGCTCAGCCTTCTCTCTCCCTCTGTCCCTCCCCCCACTCATGCACTCTCTCTCTCTCTCTCTTTCTCAAATAAATCTTTAAAAAAAAAAAAAGATACAGGGTGGCACTTGGGTGGCTCAGTAAGTATTTGCCTTCTGCTCAGGTCATGATCTCAGGGTCATAGGATTGAGCCCCACCTTGGGCTCTGCTCTGCGGGGAGTCAGCTTCTCCTTCTGCCTGCCACTCGCCCTGCTTGTGCTCTCTCTCTCTGTCAAATAAATACATGTAATCTTTAAAAATAAATAACATTTTAATTTAATATGCAACTTATAATAAATACACTGTGGCCTGGATAACTTTTTATGGCTTTTTAAAAATGGCGTCATGATTTCTTTTTGTATTCAAGTATAATTAACATAACAGTGTTCTGTTTCAGGTGTACAATGTTACAGCTTAGCAATTGTGTACATTGCTCCCAGTGTTCATCTCGATAAGTGTGCTCTTAATTCCCCTTATCTATTTCGCCCATCCCCCCACCCACCTGCCCTTTAGCAACCACCAGTTTGTGTTCTGTATTTAAGAGTCTGGCTTTTTCGTTCATCTCTTTTTACCCCTCATTTGTTTTGTTTCTTAAACCCCACATATGAGTGGAATCTTACGCTTTTGTCGCCCTCTGTTGGACTTATTTTACTTAGCATAATACCCTCTCCGTCCATCCACGTCGTCACAAATAGCAAGATCTCATCCCTTCTATGGCTGAGTAATATTTCATTGTGTGTATATATCACATCTTCTTTTTTTAATTTTTTTTGAGATTTTATTTATTTGAGAGAGAGAATGAGAGGTAGAGATCACGAGAGGGAAGAGGGTCAGAGGAAGAAGCAGACTCCCTGCTGAGCAAGGAGCCCGATGTGGGACTCGATCCCGGGACTCCAGGATCATGACCTGAGCCGAAGGCAGTCGCCCAACCAACTGAGCCACCCAGGCGCCCTATATCACATCTTCTTTATCCCTTCATCAGTCAGTGGACACTTGAGCTGCTTCCATATCTTGGCTGTTGTAAATCATGCTGCAATAAACATCGGGGTGCATGCATCTTTTCGAATGATTGTTTTCATTTTCTTTGGATAAATACCCAATAGTGGAATTGCTAGATAATATGTATTTCTATTTTAATTTTTTGAGGACACTCCATACTGTTTTCCACAGTGGCTGCACCAGTCTGCATTCCTACCAACAGTGCACAAGCGATCCTGTTTCTCCGCAGGCTGAACACTGGCTCCAACACTGACTATATTCTGTGCTTTTTTATTTTAGCCATTCTGACAGGTGTGAGGTGATATCTCATTGTAGCTTTAATTTGTATTTCTCTGATGATGAGTGATGTTCAGCATCTTTTCATGCGTCTGTTGGCCATCTGTGTGTCTTCTTTGGAAAAACGTCTATTCAGGTCCACTGCCCGGTTTTTAGTCGAACAATTGTTTTTCTTTGGTGTTGAGTTGTATAAGCTCATTATATAGATAACTGTATTAATGTTAAATTTCCTGATTTTAGCAATTGTGCTGTGGTTATATGAAAGATGAAATATTTAGGGGTAAAGAGGGATAATGCTTTCACCTTACTCTTAAATTGCTCAGGTAAAAAATATACAGATATACACATACTATATATATTCTCTCTATTCTCTCTCTCTATATATACATATATGTGTGTGTATAGGCATCATGTAAACAGAAAATCTGGATAGAGTATACATGAGTATTCCTTGTACTATTCTTGCAAACTTTCTATAATTTAGAATGATACAGTAAAGGGGCACCTGGCTGGCTTAGTCAGTAGAGCATGCAACTCTTTTTTAAAAATTTTTTAAAAAGATTTTATTTATTTACTTGACAGGGAGAGACACAGCAAGAGGGGGAACACAAGCAGGGGGAGTGAGAGAGGGAGAAGCAGGCTTCCCGCTGAGCAGGGAGCCCGATGCGGGGCTCGATCCCAGGACCCTGGGACCATGACCTGAGCCGAAGGCAGACGCTTAACGACTGAGCCACCCACGCGCCCCTAAAGCATGCAACTCTTAATCTCAGGGTTGTAAAGTCAAGCCTCTGGTCAGGTGTAAAGATTACTTAAAAATAAAATCCTTAAAAAAAATAATAAAATGATACAATAAAAAGTTTCCAGAGGCACTTGACTGGCTCAGTCAGTAGAGTGTGGTAGAGCATGGGATTCTTTTTTTTTTTTTTTTTTTTAAGATTTTATTTATCCGACAGTGAGAGACACAGCGAGAGAGGGAACACAAGCAGGGGGAGTGGGAGAGGGAGAAGCAGGCTTCCCGCCGAGTGGGGAGCCCGATGTGGGGCTCAATCTCAGGACCCTGGGATCATGACCCGAGCCGAAGGCAGACGCTTAACGACTGAGCCACCCAGGCACCCCAGAGCATGGGATTCTTAATCTCAAGGTCCTGAGTTTAAGCTCCATGTTGGGCGTGGAGCCTACTTAATTAAAAAAGTTGTTTCCAAAATGTTGTGACATTAAAAGAATAGAAACCAGCAGCCCGCGCGGGGCCAGAGCACTGAGAAGTCCTCTTATTTCTGGCCTGCGGATGTGAGAGGCGCCACTCAGCCACCCCTGCAACTCGGGAAGTGACCTCAGAACACCCTGTTCCTGATGCAGATGGAAGACACACAGATTTCCCCGTAGGCTGCAGGATTTGCCTGTTGCTGGGACACCACTTGGAGGAGGGAAGGGGGGCGTTTGCCCTGGGGTCAGCCCCACCCATCCTCCCTGTCCTTCCCTGTTCTCTCCTACGTTTGTCATTGCCCCCACCCCGCCCCTGCCCTCCTGGACACCCAGGTCTGGGCGGTCAGTGATGCCCTCAGGAACTTAGAGTTAATGTCCTTCTCTGTCCTTTAGTTGTCTTTCAAGATTTCCTGAAGCTTTTGTGTGGCATCGAAGCCCTCTAGAATTATCCTTTCTGACTTGGTGGAACAGGTGGGGACCTATCTCGGCCCTCTTTGGTTGCCTAGCACCTGGGAGCTGCTCAGGGCTCTGTTCCTGGAGTTGGTTTCACTCCCAGTCCTTTCGGGACTTCCACCAGCGATCCTGGGTCTCCTTTTGTTTTTGTTTGTTTGTTTGTTTGTTTTTTTAAAGATTTTTATTTATTTGACAGAGACACAATGAGAGAGGGAACACAAGCAGGGGGAGTGGGAGAGGGAGAAGCCCGCTTCCCACCAAGCAGGGAGCCCGATGCGGGGCTCGATTCCAGGACCCTGGGATCATGACCTGAGCCGAAGGCAGACGCTTAACAACTGAGCCACCCAGGCGCCCCTCTGGGTCTCCTTTTATTCACCTGTAAAAGAATCCAGCTGGAGCAGGAATAGGCAGACAGACCCACAGGCAGAACTGAGGCTGGTTTGGATCCCAGAGATGGGTCCCAGCACATAGGGGAGTTTGCTAAGTGATAAAAGTGGTGTTTCAAAACCTGCCTTTGTTCGAAGCTGCTTACCAAACAGTGTGGGGTCAACTGGCCAGATCTTGGCAAAGAAACCTGAACCCTTTCCACATGTACCTTCTATCGATATACTTCTGAAAGGATCAAGATTTTAACAGTGAACACCAAAACCAGAAGGAATCTTCAATGAATATCTTTTATAAGTCATCTCAGAGGGGAACAAAACAAAAGAAGCCAACCAGAAATAGAAAACAAAAGTCAGGGGTGCCTGGCTAACTCAATCCAGAGAGCATGTGGTTCTTGATAGGGGGGTAGTGAGTTCGAGCCCCACGTTGGGTGTAGTGATTACTAAGAAAAAACAAAACAAAAAAACACACTTAAAACACCAAAAGTCGGGGGGGGGGGAAGACTGATAAATATAACTGCATAAAAATTAAAAACTTCTGTGGCGCCTGCATGGCTCAGTCGTTAAGCGTCTGCCTTCAGCTCGGGTCATGATCTCAGGGTCCTGGGATTGAGCCCCGCATCAGGGTCCCTGCTCCACGGGAAGCCTGCTTCTCCCTCTCCCACTCCCCCACTTGTGTTCCCTCTCTCGCTGTGTCTCTCTCTGTCAAATAAATCTTTAAAAAAAAACAAAAAAAACTTCTGCAAGAAAAAAATATGCCACAAAGTCAAAAGACAACAAACTGGGGTCAAGGGCCGGTAGCACATGACAAATGAGGCTAACTGCCTTCTGAATAAAAACTCACCAGGCAATAGGAAAAATGTCAGTATCCTAACAGCCAAGTGGGTGAAGACACCAATGGGCAATTCACAAGCAAGATAAAAGCAACAGAGTTGAGATGATCAGTGTTTTAATCTGAGAGATACAAGTTAAAACAAGCACGTGCTGTTCTGCATTCTCACAGAGGCAAAGATCAAAACATCTGCTGTCGCCCAGTGTTGTGAGAAGACAAGAACTCTCAGGGCGGTCACCTGTTCAGGTCAAAGGGAGACCTTTGACCCAGAGAATTTAGCAACCCATAGATGCAACAGGCCTGCCTCCCTCCCACCTCTGGGGTGGGTCTTTGTTTGCCTATATGTTTTTCTCTCTCTCATTTTCCCTCCCCACTGTTTCACAAAATTGCTCCCAATTTTCTTGTCAGTTAAGCTGGGAAAAAGGGCGCCTGGGTGGTTCAGTCGGTTGGGCGACTGCCTTAGGCTCAGGTCATGATCCGGGAGTCCCGGGATCGAGTCCCGCATCGGGCTCCCTGCTCGGCAGGGAGTCTGCTTCTCCCTCTGACCCTCCCCCCTCTCATGTGCTCTCTCTCTCTCTCATTCTCACTCTCTCAAAATAAATAAATAAATCTTTAAAAAAACAAAAAACGGGAAATAATTGCGAGCTAACAGCTTACCCAATTCATAAGGACTGTAACTGGTAGAAATGAACAAA